CTATAGACCCCCCCCAAGGACTCACCCCAGCTCGATGAGGGGGGGTTTGTCGCGGCTCCTCTTGTAGCAGATGAACATCTGGGGGTTGTTGAGGAGCCCGGCGTTGAGGTCCACGGGGTGGCCCGAGGTGGTGGTTTCGATGCAGGTGAAGCCGTGGGGCACGTCCTCCCCCTGGGAGCGGATGATGACGGCCACGTCCGTGATGGGTTCCGTGGGTCGGGCCGCCCGGTGCTGCTGGGTCTCCTCCTCCAAGGCCCGAGAGGTCTCCGTCAACCCGGCCACCACGAAGTAGTCCACCAGCTGGGGGGGCTTCTCGTCCGCCATGGCTCAAGGCATCTGGAGAATTGGGGGGGGGGACACATCACACACACACAGAGGGGATGGGTGACACCTCAACCCTGCCCCACAGAAAAAGGGAAAGCTCTTCCTCTGGTTCGGCAGCCCCATGGTGGAACCTGTGGAGCTGAGGAACCTGGTGGCCTGTGGGGCTGAGGAACCTGGTGGCCTGTGGGGCTGAGGAACCTGGTGGACCGTGGGGCTGAGGAACCCATGGAGCTCAGGAACCTGGTGGCCCGTGGGGCTGAAGAACCTGGTGGAACCCATGGAGCTGAGGAACCTGGTGGCTCATGGAGCTGAGGAACCCATGGGGCTGAGGAACCCGGTGGAACCCGTGGAGCTGAGGAACCTGGTGGCCCGTGGGGCTGAGGAACATGGTGACCCATGGAGCTGAGGAACCTGGTGGCCCATGGAGCTGAGGAACCCGTGGGGCTGAGGAGCTGAGGAACATGGTGGCTGGTGGGGCTGAGGAACCTGGTGGCCCATGGAGCTCAGGAACCCGGTGGCCCATGGGGCTGAGGAACCTGGTGGCCTGTGGGGCTGTGGAACCCGTGGGGCTGAGGAACCCGATGGAACCTGTGGGGCTGAGGAACCTGGTGGAACCCGTGGGGCTGAGGAACCTGGTGGAACCCGTGGGGCTGAGGAACCCAGTGGCCCGTGGGGCTGAGGAACCCGTGGAGCTCAGGAACCTGGTGGCCCGTGGGGCTGAGGAACCCGTGGAGCTCAGGAACCTGGTGGCCCGTGGGGCTGAGGAACCCGTGGAGCTCAGGAACCTGGTGGCCCGTGGGGCTGAGGAACCCGGTGGAATCTGTGGAGCTGAGGAACCCAGTGGCTTGTGGGGCTCAGGAACCAGGTGGAGCCCGTGGGGCTGAGGAACCTGGTGGCCCATGGGGCTGAGGAGCTGAGGAACCCGCAGGGGGCTGAGGAGCTGAGGAACCCGGTGGCTGGTGGGGCTGAGGAACCTGGTGGAACCCGTGGGGCTGAGGAACCCGGTGGAACCCGTGGGGCTGAGGAACCTGGTGGAACCCGTGGGGCTGAGGAACCCAGTGGCCCATGGGGCTGAGGAACCCATGGAGCTCAGGAACCTGGTGGCCCGTGGGGCTGAGGAACCCGTGGGGCTGAGGAACCTGGTGCCCCATGGAGCTGAGGAACCCGTGGGGCTGAGGAGCTGAGGAACCCGGTGGCCCCTGGGGCTGAGGAACCCAGTGGAACCCGTGGGGCTGAGGAACCCGGTGGACCCTGGGGCGCTGAGGAACCCGGGGGGGTGAACCCATGGAGCTGAGGAACCTGGTGGCCCGTGGGGCTGAGGAGCTGAGGAACCTGTGGGGCTGAGGAACCTGGTGGTCTGTAGGGCTGAGGAACCCATGGAGCTGAGGAACCTGGTGGCCCGTGGGGCTGAGGAACCCGGTGGAACCCGTGGGGCTGAGGAACCTGGTGGCCTGTGGGGCTGAGGAACCTGGTGGCCCATGGAGCTGAGGAACCCGTGGGGCTGAGGAGCTGAGGAACATGGTGGCTGGTGGGGCTGAGGAACCTGGTGGCCCATGGAGCTCAGGAACCCGGTGGCCCATGGGGCTGAGGAACCTGGTGGCCTGTGGGGCTGAGGAACCCGGGGGGCTGAGGGGCTCG